AACTTCCCAGAGACAGAGCCCCAGGCTGAAGCCCTTCTGAATTCTCAGACCTGCGGTGAAGCTCCGGGTTGAAATGCCTTTCTCTTCATCTTGGCTGTGTTGTGTTTGACTACTTTTTGCTTGCTTGTTTTTTTGTTTTGTTTTGTTGGGTTTTTTTTCAACACGGGGTCTTATGGAGTGCAGCCTGGTTTAGAACTCACTATGTAACTAAGGAAGTGACTTGGGTCTTCTATTATGCGTATGGCTTTGAAGCTCACAGTCAAGCCTGCTGTGGGCCACAAGAGGTTGGAAAATATTATGTGAATAGCCAATGTCACCTTCCTTAGTTCCAGCTAGCAGACACCTTTTTGGACCCATCTCTGACTCCTCTGCTCACTTAACTTCTCTATGAACTTCTGGTCTTCTTGCCTCTGCCTCTTTTGGTGCTGGGATTACTGGCACTCACCATCAAGTCCCATATGTGTGTGCTGGGAATTGAACACAGGACTCCCTGTGTGTCAGGAAAGCATTCTTACAACTGAGCAAGGTGGCCTTGGACTACTACGTAGCCAAGGATTGTATCAAACTTCTGATCCTCCTGCCGCCATCTCCCAAGGACAGGACTTAAGGTATGTGCCACCATTCCTGGTTTATTCCATGCCAGGGATCAAACCTAGGATTTCGTGCATGTTGCATGAGAACTCTACCCACTGAGCTGCGTCCTATGTTTCCTTCTGTGCTTTTGCCACTAGGTTTTAACATCACTTCTCTGGGTGCCTCAAAAAGAGGGTCTTGATGGCATCCTTCCTGTCAATCAGTGATTCACAGTCACCTACTTACACCGGCTGGTGTCCCTCGGGAGGTGGGAGGAATCATTTGTAAAGTCACCTGGGCCTGGAGCCATTTGTAACTTTGTAACTATGCTAGCCTCTTAGACCTCAACACCCCAGCCAAGCTCAGTGCTTGGCAGGTGGGCTGTGCAGATAGAGTCCACTCACATGCAAACGCAATAGGGTGTGTTGTTTGTAGAGAATTGAAAAACTATTACTTTATTAGTTTTTTAGTTTGTTTGCTTGTTTGTTTGTTTGTCAACTCTAACCAATTGGGAACACTATTCTCTCGAGTTCCTTCCTATACCCTACCAGCTTGCCCAGCAACTCAGCCAACTCAAGTCATACCAATATCCTCCCAAGAATGAGAAGATACAAAACAAGGAGTTTTCTTCAATTTTGTTCTTTGATGTTATTCCAAAAAACATTAGGGAACCATCTAGAGAAACCCCAAACCATAAACAAAATTGAAGCATGGCAGTTCCTCATACAATTAAATATAGCCCCATCTGATTGAGCAATTTCACTTCTGTTCCCAAAAGAACTGAAAGCAGGAACTTGAAGAAATATCTGTGTAACTTGTGCTTATGATGATGATATTCATGGTTGTCACACAAAACCAGAAACACTTATCAGTATCCATCTGCAAGGGACTACAAATACTACCTGTTCCTAAAAAGGAGAGAAATTCTGACAGAACAGGCATGAACCTTGAGGGAAAGATGCTGGAACTCACAAGAAGTCTGTAGAAGCAAGGGTGTAGTATGTGCCTGCCATCCCAGTACCACAGAAGTGGCAGGAGGATCAGGAGCTCACGGTCATTCCTCAGTCACACAGTGAGCTAGAGGCCAGCCCAGAGTGCATGAGACCTTGTCTCAAAAAAAAAAAATGAACACACGCAAGAGTCTTTAGGATGAAATTTTCAGAGAGAGAGAGCAGGAAAGTGGGTACAAGGACTAGAGGGGTGACCTGAGAGACTGTTGTTTAGTTGGGACTAAACTTCAGTGTGGACAGATGGGAAGCTGATGGCAGTGACCCCTGTCCAGTACTGAGCATGCTCAGTGCCACCTCTAAGAAATGAATGAAAAGATAAATCGTGCATGTTTGTGTCCAGTGCACATGCATGGAGAAGATAGGTCAACCCTGGTGGCTTCCTCAATCACTCGCTACCTTACTTTCAGAGATAGACTCTCATGTTGAACCTAGAGCTTGCTGATTAAGCTAGGCCACCTGGCCCGTGAGCATGTGCAGCAAGTGCTTTAATGACCAAGCCATCTCACCACCCTTAAAACGGTACTATATAGAGACAAGAGCTAACCAAGGTCAAAGCTGAGGCCTTCTGACTGCAAACCTGTATGCTGTGCCTGGGAGCCCTCTCTTCCGCTGCCTGCATACACTCTGCTGGAATCCAGCCAGAAAAGGACTAAACAGTATTTCAGCCTAATGGCTCCATTCTAAGTGGCCCATGGTGGTCCCAGTCATGTGCTGCCAAGCTGAACATTTCTTCTGGACCTTTCCCTGACACTGTCTTAACAGACAACTCTTATTGAGTCTTTCTTGATAAACTCAGGAGCTTAACTTCAAGGTCACTGGGGTTATTCTATAGCAGGAAGCCCTAAGAATTGGGATGCTTCCTGCTAACTACCAGGCCTGCAGCGGGAGAGTCTGGCTGTCCCAAGGAATGGCCTTCCAGGTAGAATATCAGTCCCTCCTCCTCTGACAGTCCCTAGAGAGGCCATATGACCAGGCTTCCCTGGCTGCGTAGGATGCCACCAGCAGGTAGAGATTTACACAATGGACTATCACTCAGATGTTAAAAAATGAAACCATGAAATTTGCAGACAGGTGGGTGGAACTAGAAAACTCATGTTGAGTGGGGTATCTCAGCCCAGAAAGACAAATATGATATGTGTGCATTTACTCTATGGGGATATTAGCCGTGAAAAGCTTCAGTTCACCCCCACCGTGGGCTTTATGTGCTGAGAGCTCACAGGGCCAGCGGCTCACATAGGTCCGAGTACCTGCCGTGGGGTGTAGAAAACACTGAGTAAGCACCAGCTGCCTGCAGTGCTCCTCCTTGAGGCTGGGCTCCTCAGTGCCCTCCACTGCCCCCCCAGACTCTACCCCCAGCCCCGCCTTGGGCAGGACCTAAGCTTCTAGCATATTCTGATGGCTAGGCAACAGACCAGCTGGCTGGGCACAGCGTGGTGGCCATGACAGTGCAGTAGCACTCTGGTAGATCTGGGAGTGACAAACGGGGTCCTCGTGGCAGGGTGTCACAGTTGGCACAAGCAGATGAGCACGAGATGCCCATGAAGGGGACAGGGCAGCAGGGAACCCCACTAATCGGAGCTACTTCCCTGCCCATTGCCATCCCCCCACCCCCGTAAGGCAGAGTTGACACGAGGCAGGGAAGTTTTGCTCTGCTGTGCCCACGGCCAGCTGCCAGTTTCAGTGGTGGCGTGTGCCCTTCCCTTTTCTGGGCACGGGGACATTTGCATCCCTGGGTACAGCCTGTTCAGTTTCTGCTCCCTCCTGGGCCTGCATCAGCTTCCACCCCACATGAGGGAAAACCAGTTCCAGTGGGTGGGGCACTGGTCCCTGCAGGCAGCCTTTGGAGAAGAGCGTTAGATCAGTCAGCTAACGCTGCCAGGTGCTAGGGCCAGCCCACATCAGGCCCTATGGTCCTTAGAGAGGAGGCCGTGTATGGGACCCTAAGGCCACATCTGGAACACGCACAGCCCAGCCCTCCCATTGTGCGCTACCAAGAGCTTCATGGGGCACACACTGCGACTTCCTGCACGGCGGCCTAGCCCCGGCTCACTGGGAAGCTCTGTAGCAGACACTCTCTTGCACCCACTAGGGATACCTGCAACTAGGGGTGCCTCTAAGGGAGCTTTGATCTCCAGGAGTGCATCTTTATAGAGATGTACTTTGGGGGATGCTGGGCTCTGGAACAGGTCAATGCCAAAGAGCATATGATATTGGGGGGGGCTAGGACAAGGTTTGGGCCTGAAAAGTCTTCTGGAAAACCAGGCTATTACAATGGGAAACGAGGCTATCAGCATGGGTGACACTGTATCAACCTCTTGAATTCACAGCTGGGCTGATGGAGGAACCTCTGGTCTTTACTGTAGGGTGCCCCCCGGGGGTTGACTCGCTTTTTCTCTTATGTCCATTCATCCATCGGGCTACCCCTGACTCTCAAGATCAACGGGAATGCATTCAGGAGGCCTGAGCAGTCTCCCTTATCAGCAACTCAGCTTTCCACGGGGCGAGAGTAGTTGCCTTAGATGACTGTTTCCACACACCAGCTAAGGCCCAAGTCGGTCTGGATGGAGGCAGTCGACACCAGGATATGGTTAGAGAGAGGCCACATTATTTTCTAGATTTTAAAGAAGCTGGGGAGACCCCGGAGTCTGTGAGGAGGTGGCCCTTCTCCTGCAAGCTCAGCTCTTAATCCCAGTTGAGGACAGATGGTAGGTACCACCTCCAAGACCTGGAGTGACACTATGCAAATCAAGGGGCTCTTGGGTCCCAAGAAGCAGCAAGGAATGGCTCCTGCCTGTGGAAGGAGACTACAGTAGGCTGAGAGGAGCCAGGTGTCCCAGAATTACCACATGGGCATCCCTTTCCTCTCCTGGAAAAGGAGAGAGAGACTGTGTAGGCTTGTGTCTCCTGGGCCACCATGAAGCAGGATGGAGTCCTGTCTGTCTGTCCTGTCAGTCCCTTGGGCTTCACTGTCACCCCTCCTGTCTCCATCCCCCTCCATCTCTGGGGGTCACTCTATCCTGCCGTCCCCCTCAGGGGCCTTCCTGACCACAGCTATCCTGCTCCTGGCCTCACCTGTTCTTCAATGTCCCCCTCCCCTGTGCAACAACCAACCTGAGCTCTGTGAGGTCCCCACAGGAGCCCAGGGCCAAGTACATGGAAGCCTCCTGCCACCAATTTGATTGGATAGATGGAGTCCTGTGGGGGAGGGGAGGAAAAAACCACACCCTGACAAGCCAGGCATGGTGGTGCACTCGGGAGGCAGAAGAAGGCAGATCTCTTGTGAGTTCGAGGCCAGCATGGTCTACAAAGCGAGTTCCAAGACAGCCAGGGCTGTTACACAGAGAAATCCTGTCTTGAAAAACAAACAAGCAAAAACACCTTGAGAATAGCATCTTAGCAGAGAAAGGATTTGTTTTAGCTCACAGTTCCAGGCTATGGTCCTTCGCAGCAGGGAGCCAACCAAGATGGCGGGACCTTGAGGCAGCTGGTCTCATCTACGGTCAAGAGCAGAGAATGCATGCACTCGGCTCATTGTCTCCTGTTTTATATAGTCCATGACCCAAACCCAGAGACTAGTGCCACCCACTCTTAAACTCAATTAATGTAATCAAGACAGTTCCCCATTGGTGTGTCCATGGGTCAACCTGACCCAGGCGATTCTTCATTGAGACTCTCTTCCCAAGTTATTCTAGATTGGGTCACGGTTGCAGTTAAGACAAACCGCCATGGGTGGATGATTGGATGAATGAGTGCGCGTGTCAGCCTCAGCATGAGCACTGGCCCTTACAAGAACCCCACCAACCCAGCTCAGGGGCACCGGCTCTAAGAGCCACTCTGTCCTCAGGTGCGCGTCAGACATTTCAGAAGCAAGCAGCCACGGACCTTCCTCACGACCCACCTGCCACTCAAACCCAAAAAGTGCTTCCCTGGGTGAGGGGTCCCAAGACCACCCACAAGCCTGGTCCGGAGGGTGTGGACCAGGGCCAGCCAGCTGGACCCACAAGGTGACCGCAAAGCAGCAGCCAGTGATAGCCATGGCAACTGGTGGCCCTAAGGATGCCAGAGGAAGTGACTTCAGCCTTGTACGGGGCGGGGCTACTCTGGGAGGAGGGCGGCACGACGTCCTAGATGTGCCCCCAAGAGAACACATGGGATCTGGGGAACACACCTGCTGCGGCCTCCTGTTTGCGTCCATCTGAAAAATCTGGGCAACCTAGGGACACGGGCCACCAGAGAGAAAGGGGGACCTGATTTCCTCAACACTTGGGAGACGGGTGCTTCACAAGTGGCTGAAAGTCCCTGGCGGGCAAGGCCACGTGGTGGCCCCTCCAGCCTCTGCAGGCATGCCGCCTCTCTGGCAAAAAGCACCAGGGCCCTGGGGGACCTGGGATGGCTTGGTTTGTGGTTTTCCGGAGTTGGGGCTTCTGATAATTCTAGCTTTCCTCCATGTCTGCCTGTACTTAGATGTCCTCTCCAGCGATGCTCATGGATCCCTAACAGACCCAGCAGCGGGATATCATGGTGTCTTCTGAGTGCCTAAGCCTCTCCTTTTTCATCTCCTATTTTTCCCCATTCTTCCGGGAGACTCCTGCAAAAAAAAAAATCTTATCAAAGTGGTTCTTTTTGTTTGTTTGTTTTTTGTTTTTCGAGACAGGGTTTCTCTGTATTGTTTTGGAGGCTGTCGGTCCAGCCCGGTCTCGAACTCACAGAGATCCGCCTGCCTCTGCCTCCCAAGTGCTGGGATTAAAGGCGTGCACCACCACCGCCCAGCCCTCAAAGTGGTTCTTACTCACTTTCTGTGAATCTGACTCTAAAGCCATCATCCCCACCCCTCTCACCCATGTCCATACAGTGCTCTGAGGAGTCTTCCGGGGGCTCAACCACACTCTCCCTCTGCCTTTTTTCCCTTGCTCTGTGGGCAGGGTTCTTGGGTCTGTGCCTTGACTGGCCAGCAGACAGCCGTCTCCCCCACCTTGGTCCAAGCCTTCTGCCTCTCCCCCTTCCTGTCTCAGACACCCAGTTACAAAGTGGGAGCACTCCTGAGACTCCTGGATTCCACTTCCTCACATTTTAAGGCACTGCTCAGGTAAGTCCCCTGTTGGGCTCTGTAGTGACTCCAGGTTGGATATATGGCTGAGAACAGATCCCCAGGTTCTGTGTCAAGGCATACACTGTGGTGGTTGAAAGAAAATGGTCCCCAAAGGAAGTGGCACTAGGAGGTGTGGCCTTGTTGGAGTAGGTGTGGCCTCGTTGGAGGAAGTGCGTCACAATGGGGGTGGGCTTTGAGGTCTCCTACGCTCAAGCTACGTCCAGTGACACAGTTCACTTCCTGCTGCCTGCATGTCAAGATGTAGCAGTTCCAGCCGGGCATTGGTGGCGCACGCCTTTAATCCCAGCACTCAGGAGGCAGAGGCAGGCAGATCTCTGTGAGTTTGAGACCAGCCTGGTCTACAGAGAGAGTTCCAGGACAGCCTCCAAGGTCACAGAGAAACCCTGCCTCGGGAAGCAAAAAGAAAGAAAGAAAAAAGAAAGCAAGATGCAGCTCCTCCTCCAGCACTATGTCTGCCCGCATGCTGCCATACTCCATCATAATGATAATGGACTAAACTTCTGAAACTGTAAGTTGCCACCTCATTTAAACGTTTGACTTTGTAAGAGTTGCTGAGGTCATGGTGTCTCTTCACAGCAATAGAAACCCTAACTAAGACACACTATGTGTGTTTGACCCAGCCATGTCTTGAAACAGTTGAGCAGATCTCAGGGACTGTGGACTGTGAAGCATTTAATTATCTGAGCTGCTCAAGCGTCCCTGGGCTAGTCAGTCTGGGAAAAGTTAGTGTTGACCAACCTATAGGGACTAATACCGAGCAATATGACAACTCTCCCAGAAGACCTCTGCACCCCCAAACAAGATGGGACCCCATCTAAAGCGCTCCCATCTAAACTTGCCACCCTGGAGCTGCCTGGGGAGCTCAGAGGGACATGATAGCAGGAGTCCTGGGATTTCCCCACCCACAGGACAGGAACCAGAGTGTGCAGGGTTGGGGGAAGCAACAGATCTACGGGCATACGTCGCATGCAAAAAGTATATATGTACCCTATATACACCCAAACATATCACATGGAAACACTGTCAGGGACATGACACAGCCTAGATATAAACTGGAATATATGTTACACACACCACACATACTTAAACACATACATTTGTATCACTTATTCAATCACTTTACACACCCCTCACACACTTATTCATATATGCATTAAACCCAACACATATACATATACATGAATAACACACACACACACACACACACACACTGAGCAGAGCCAGTCACTGCCTGGAGCAGGCAGTGGGTTGATTCTCAGGGACTGTGGCTGGAAACTCCGGGCTGCTATAAGCACCCAATAGGTTGGGTAGACCAAGCATAGGATAGGCATGCTAGCCAAGCCACTCTCCAGTCCCTGTCACAGGTAGGGCTTCTGGTGGCAAGGGAGTGGACCCTCACAGCTGGTCTGAAAGGGCAGCAGTGTGATGCCCAGGACTATTCATGGCCACTGAGCCAGAGGAGCAGCTATATAGCCACACAGCACTCTTCCTGATGGACTTGTCTAAGACAGCCTGATCAGCACCTTCCTCACCCTCCGGGGCCAGGTGCAGAACTCAACAAACACAACCAAAGCCCTGGGCAGTAGAAGCTACACATCAGCACATCTGGTCCCTGTGAGAGCAAGGAACCGGAGACCTTTTTGAATGAGACCAGCCCACCCACCCCAGGACACTCCAGGAAGCCCAACTCTGAGCCCAGTGTCCTTGCCCAGGCTAACCCCAGGAAATCCTTGGGAAGAACCAGATGGAGGGGCTGTGGTTCATCTGTGTTCCTCAGAGGAGAGGTTGTGGCACCGGGCAGCAGAGACACAGATCCGAAGCCTTTGCATTGGCCAATGTCACAGGTGCCCCTTCCTAACTGAGACAGCTGAGGCCCTCATCAGCATTTGTCCCCTTGGCCTGGAGCTCTCTGCACCACACCTCAGCTCAAGGGAAAACTTGAGACCTGTCCTTTGAGTCTCAGAAGGGCCGAGGGCTGCTGTCAAGCACCTGGCTTTGGAATTTGCCATGTCACTAGCTCCATGCTAGCACAGAGGCCATGGAAGAGCAGGGTTTGAGGTGGAAGAGCAGGGTTTGAGGTGTGCTCATCTCGCTGCAGCTGAATTTGCATGGCCAGTTCCTGGGTCCAGAGAACAAGGGACATAGGAGGAACACTGAACCCCAGCCCCAGGGGCCTAGACAGTCACAGTCTGGTGTTTGTCACACAGTATTGTGATGTAAGAGCTAACTGACAGCCTCATTTGTCTTTACTGTGTGTTACTCACATAACCTCGCCCCCCCCAAACACACACCGTGGACCCATCTTCACCACACACACCGTGGACCCATCTTCACCACACACACCGTGGACCCATCTTCACCAACCACACCGTGGACCCATCTTCACCAACCACACCGTGGACCCATCTTCACCACACACACCATGGACCCATCTTCACCACACACACCGTGGACCCATCTTCACCACACACACCGTGGACCCATCTTCACCAACCACGTGGGCTAAAAGCATGCAGAAGACCTAGCAGCCATCAGCTTGCTTATTCCAGATGGCTGCGTCTCAGGCAAAGAGCATCTGCACTGTAAGAAGAAATGCTCTGGAGGTTTGGGGAAGACATCCCCATAAATCCTATGGTTTCTTTGCTCCAAGAAACACCCTGTTCACTTCTTAGGGAGCCAAGCTGCTCTGTGAGCCAGGTATCTGCTCTGATGTGACCGCCTTCTACATCTCCACAGCATCTGCAAATGTCATTGACACTTCAACTCTTGGATGATGTCAGGGCTAGAAACCAAGGGGCCGAGGGGCTGGTGATGGGCTCTCTGGAAACAGATCTCCTCTATCTCCAGTCCTTCCCCCACCCTGGGTCCTGGACTCCAAGGGAGGGTCCAACACCCAGCAGGGCCCTGCACCTCGCTGGCCTCTCCCAGTGTCTGCCGGGAGATGGTTGCCAGGCTAAAAAAAGCAGCATTGTTCAGCCGGCACGGCTTTGACGTCTCTGCTTGCTGGCTTGTTTCAAATGACAAGTCCACACAGGCATCGCTCCTCACTCAGGCCCCAGGCACACACCCACATTTAGTGGGGCTTGTGCACCCTCGGGCAGTCACGTAGGGAGATGCTGCTGAGCCTGCCTGCGAAGGAGCTGGGCCTGGGAAGTCCAGGGCCAGATCCCAAGGGGCCCTCAGGAATGCTCCCTCTGAGGAGCAGTGCCGGGGACAACTTCCTGTGGGATTCATGCTACCGCCTCCCTTTCGGGGGCAGACAGGCCTCTGAGCCAGACTGTGGAGGACGAGGGTGGTTTCTATGTAGAAACAGTGCGTGGGTAGGAGGACACAAGTGATGCTGCATACGTGCACAGACTCAGGAGACCCGGCCAGAAGGTTGTCCTGGGGCCACTTGCAAAGCTACTTGCTCCTTTGGGCAAAGCCCCCTCGGGAAGGGCTCACACACAGCCTCCCATGCCCTTCAGAAGGCCAACTCTCCCACTCTTGCCCCTATTGGTTTCAGGGGTCCCTGCAGCCAGAACAGTCTGGTTCCACTCCTTCTGAGAGGCTTCCAAAGGGCAGGAAGGACAGTGCACACTAGGCTAGCAACAGGCAGACCATCAGTATCCCCAGAGTGCCTCTGCAAATCTGTTTTCTACCCTCGCCTGAAGGAGGAGGGGGGCTGTGACACGTTGGAACATGTCACTCATGCCTGAGGCGGCTTGGGAGCTTCAAAGAACTGAACCAAACTCAGAGGGTTCAGAGCCGTGCCCACAGGTGAAGGACCAACTGGTCAACAGGATGCGGAGAGCAACGAAAACCGTCAGAACTGTCACAGCAACCTGGGGACATGAGACCGGAACAGCTACGGAGGACTGAGTTTCATCCAAGGGGCACCTCACTGCAAAGATGTGACTTCATCCAAGGGGCACCTCACTGCAAAGATGCGACTTCATCCAAGGGGCACCTCACTGCAAAGATGCGACTGAGGCCCTCGTCCTGTATCTCTGCTAGCCTGAGTGACTGCGGGGGGCCGAAGTCTCCAAAGGATCATCCCATGTGAGGTAAAGGAATGAAGGGCTCATGTACATCAACCACTGCCCATCCCCAACGCCTGTCACTCAAGCTCTTTGGAAAGTCCTTCTCCTTCTATGAGACTGGTGCATGCATGCATGTGCAAACACACACACACACACACACACACACACACACACACACACAGCCCCCCAAATGCCCTGCCCAGGATGAGCTTTATCTGACCCTCTTGGCCAGGGGACCGGAGTGTCACATATGTATTAGCTGCATGGGGATTCCCTGTATCTGGAGAAGACAAGGTCAGAGTCACCATTGTGGAGCAGATATTGCCCTGCTCCCCACATCCTTTTTTTCTTTCCTGTACAAGACTAGCCAGTCAATAGTTCAGCATGGAAAGAAAGGGGCTTACAAGCTCCCACCTATAGTTGAGGAGCTGTTGGTCACCACTGATGGCTTCTTGGGGAGGGAGAGTCACTTTTCTACGAGTGTGGCCCACTCTCCAGTGGATGGTCTCACATTTATTCTTACAGGCGCAGCACTAACTGAATTAGGTGGGTGTCTTAGTCAGGGTTCCTACTACTGTGACAAAACACCATGACGGAAAAGCAAGTTGGGGAGGAAAGGGTTTATTTGGCTTACACTTGCACATCTCTGTTCATCACTGAAGAAAGCCAGGACAGACACCGGGAGGCAGGAGCTGATGCAGAGGCCATGGAGGAGTGCTGCTTACTGGCTTGCTCCTCATGGTTTGCTCAGCCTGCTTTCTTGTAGAACCCAGGACTACCAGCCCAGGGATGACACCACTCTAGATGGCCTGGGCCCTCCCCACCAATCACTAATTAGGAAAATGTCCTACAACTGGATCCTATGGAGACATTTTCTCAATTGAGGTTCCCTTCTTTCAGACAACTCCAGCTTGTGTCAAGTTGACATAGGACTAGCTACAACAGTGGGTCTGAAAAGAAAAGAGAACAAGAAAAAGAAAGTTGTGGGTGTAGGAGTGGATCTGGAGGGGTGGAGTTAGGAATGGATAGGATCAAAATA